GTTCAGGCAGGTGGCCGGCTGACCTGGCTCTCAGAGAACTGGAACATCTCCATGGCCTCCTCCACCAGGCCCTCCTCATAGCCCTGCCGCAGCAGCCGGTCACAGGCACTAAGGTAGTTGAGAAACTGGGCCAGAAAGGGGCAAAGAAGGAGGGGATAAGATGAGTGGCTCATTGGTTGAGCATCGACCTATGAATCAGAAGGTCATGGTTCAATTCCTGATCAGAGCACATGCCTGGGTTGCGGGCTTGATCCCCAGCAAAGGGCATGCAAGAGGCAGCTGTTCACTGATTCTCTCTCATTATTGCTATTTCTATTTCTCCCTTCCTCTCTGAAATCAATGAATAAATGTTTTGTTTTTTAAAAAGGGGAACGGCAGGGGCAGTGGATGGGGTAGAGGAGACACCCCAAGGACCTCAGTAAGGCCTGAGCTCAGGCCAGCTGACTAGGCATCCACCACACATGAGATGGCCCCAGAAACCCCATGAACCAATAGAAGAGAAGCAGAGGCCACCTCTGGAGATCTGTGGACAGGTAGACAGCAACAATCCCCAACTAGGGGCTGGGATCCAGGAAAGGGGCTGTTAGCGTGAGCTAAGGTATTCCCAGAAGCTAAGTGGGGAGTGGGACAGGCCTGCAACACAGGGGTCTCTTCTCACTCACCACCCACCCCAGCCTACTCACCCTCCCTGGTGAGCACCTACCTGTATGAAGGTGCCATCCATACCTGTATACCCCCACCCCACCCCAAGACACGTACATCTCTGCCACCCAGGACTTCATGAGCCCCCACTAAGCAACAGACCTGCATCCATGCTGGAAAGGGGAAGGGACAGAGTGGACCTCACAGGGCCGAAGACCTGTTCTGGTCACTTCCTGCCTAGTCCTCGGGGGCTGCTTTGGCCCTCAGGATGAAGTGCTGCCTTCCAACCAGGGCTCAAAGGCCTGTTCCTGCCTGTCAGTCACCTCTGCTCCACCCCCACTCCCAGCCCCCTAAGTCCCTCAGCAAGGCCAGCCTCACTCCTCTTACCTGGGGATCCTCTCTGCCCCGTTTCTAAGGTGCCGTGCTTGGTGGCCCCACAGCACATACAACTTTGAAACTGCTCTACTGCCTTCCTCATCTTTCTCACCCACTGACTTTTTGCTCCATGAGGGAAGGGTTGTGTCACCACTGTGTCCCGGCACCCAGCATGGCAGGCAGAAGGAGCTCGATAAATACATGCTGTGTTTATAAAGTGAATTAAGAACCACCTCAAGAGCTCACAGCTCAGTGGGGGAGATAAACCAGATACTGGAAATCATGAGGCCCAGACAAATCAAAACAGAATTTATAGGGAGTCCGTGCCAAATGAAGTTAGTGCCAGACCATAAGAATTGTGGGTATAAGCGGAGAAGAAAGAGGCTGGGTTTCTGCAGACCTTCAGAGCTAGGCAGGAAGCACGGACCATACACACTAATGGTTTCAGCTTCTGAACTGTCCAAGCACTTGCCCCAGGACACCTAGAACTTGCTCTGAGCACAACTGGAAAACCACCCAGCCAAGCCCTCCTTGCACACCTGAGGAAACAGAGGTCCAGGCAATGTGGGCAGCTTGCCCAGGGTCCCAGGACGAGGGCCAAGATCACCTAATCTCGAGCTAATGCCTTGTCCAATGTGGGGCCACTACTAGAGGAAGGGCTTGAGCAAGCTTAAAAGTAGACAGAGTTTCTGAAGGTGAAAACTGGAGTGGGGGCAACGGCAGATGGGAGATCTCCCTCACCTCTTAGCTTATCCACAGCAATGGATCTTGGCCTTAGTTTTGATTGCAGCTACCTGGGAGTTTTAAAACTACCCATAAACTGCCTGGCCAGCGTGGCTCAGTGGTTGAGCATCGACCTATGAACCAGGAGGCCATGGTTCGATTCCCGGTCAGGGCACATGCCCGGGTTGCGGGCTCAATTCCAAGTGGGGGGCATGCAGGAGGCAGCCAACCAATGATTCTCTCTCTCATCATTGATGTTTCTATCTCTCTCTCCCTCTCCCTTCCTCTATAAAATCAATAAAAATATATTTTTAAAAAAACTACCCAAAAGCCATTGATCTTGCCTCCAGAGTCTCTGATCTGGGGGGTGCCGCCTGGGCACTGGGACTCCTGTAGCTCTCCAGGGGATTCTAATAAGAAGCCAAGGTTGAGGACCACTTACTCAAGGGAGAGCTGTCCTCGGTCCATACGACAGGATCCCATGCCAGGCTGCATATCAGAACCATCTACAGGCGTTTGAAAATAACAGGCTCTGAGGGTACTCCAGACCCACTGATGGGGACCCTCCCGAGTAGGTCCTGGGAATCTGCTTTTGTAAGGATTCTGCTGCTTGGTCAGTTTTGGGGCATATGGGATTGTAAAAGCCACCAGGCCTACCTCAGACCCCAGGATGGGGCCCCCACAAGTCTATAAGCACATGCCCTTCCCCTTCTGTGAATAGGGAAAGTGAGACTCAAAGAGGGGCCCTGATGTGCCTGGAGTCATATGGCAAGTCTGGGCCTGGCCTATGGGCCCTCACATGTGCCACCCATGTGCCCTGCAGGCAGTAGGTGGGCACTTTGATCCTTGTGGAAGGAAGGAAGGAGCGATGGACAAGCTTATCTTTTCTGTCTCCTTCGTTCTCCCTGGCTCTTCGAGGTGAAGATCACCTGATGGCCTCCCTCGTGAGCCGTCTCTGGCCATAAAGGATGTACTGTAGTATATATGTTTCAAGGGGAGAAGGAAACTGAGCCCAAAGGAGTTTCTTAGTTAATGGAGGAACTGCAGAGAATAGAGGGAAATACTAACTTGGTGGGGGAGGATAGATGAAGTCATCCAATGGCCCTCAGGCCCACCCCTCTGGGCCTAGCCCCTGACTGCCCAGCGGGGAGGATGGCCACCCAGAGACCCGGCGGCCAGCCAGGTGGTCAGTCTGTGTCTGGAAACACAATGTTCCTGATACAGTGGGATTCTCCCCGGCCACCCACAGGGAGGCCAGTGCCTCTGCTGGCTCCAGCTAATCTTCAGATCTTCACAGTGACAGCCTGAGACCTCAGCCTTGTCCCCAGTCCTAGAGACTAGGGCTGGGGGGCATGTCAGGGCCCCCTCTGTGGACCTGGTCCCTCACCATCCTCTGGGTAGCTCCTTGGCCATGGTCCTGGCTTTCAGTGGCAGCTGAAGGTGGAGGCAACTTTAGGTCTATTCTTAAATCTCAGATGAGCCTGGGGGGCTGCCCTGAAAGGTTCTCACGCAGAAAATGAGAGAGAAGCATTGAACAACAAAGATTCAGAGCTAACCAGCCTGTGCCCCATCTGCAAAGTGAGGATAGTAACAGCAACCTTGAAGAATTGAGAAGACCTAATTGTATTCTCTCAGACTGAGGGACTGGCACAAAAAAAAAGGTGTTTACTACATATTAACACCCCTGATTCCTGATTGATGAAGGGATATAAAGGTCTGACCATCTCAGCCCCGCTTAGGATGACTCTGCAGGGCCATATCTGCTCCAGAGCTGAGGGGATGGCTGACACTGTCGTTGGGTCTACACAGCTCAACCTCTCCATCTACCCACTCCTGCTTCTGTCCACCCCCTTCTCCAGGGGTTGATCCCAAGAGCCTCCTTAATTAACTCCATCTGAGTCAGATTCCTGGGGAATCCAACCTACAACAGTGGTTTTTATGTACCCTGGTTTCCCTCATACCTCTTAGCCACATCTAAACACCCAGGAAGTACCCAATAAATACTGTTGACTAGATGGATAGGTGGGTATGGGTAAACTGAACACAGTTCCTTCATTGAGGGAAGTGGTTAGAGCTGCACCATCCAATAGTAGTCACATGTAACTATTTTAATTAATTACAATTACATAAAATTCTCAGCCACATTTCAAGTAATAACGTATGGCTGGTGGATACTGAATTGGAGAACAGGTACAAAACATCTCTCATTACAAAAAGTTCTACTGGGCCGCTGTAGAGATTCTTGGCTGCCCAAAGCTCCTGCCCCAGCATTTGGGGCACAAACCAGGAGAGGAGTAAAATATCAAGACTCCCCCAAGTGAGCATGGGGATTCCTGCTAAACTCCTATGCAGACGGTAGCTTTAGGATCTAGAAACTTGCTCATACCCCCCAGTAATTAATGCCAGGCTGAGATTCTGCCTCTGAAGAGAAACAAACAAAATTTCTTCAAGTTAAAGGTAAAAACCACGAGGCCATCCGTCTGGTTCCAGCTCCAGTCCCCCCACTCTGGAGGGTCACTCACCTGGCTCAAGCTCTGACGACCCGTCTTCTGCAGAGCCACGATGGCCCTATGCAGGGGGTACCCCAGGGCGACCACTGGCCCGATGAGGTCTTGCTCCTCTTGGCTAAGGGCAGACAGCAGGTCAGCAGAATCAGGGTGTGATCTGTGGGCGGTGAGAGGCTGGGGCTCCCGCGCGAGAGGTGGCAGGCAGGTGTATGGGCTGAGAGACTGAAATACAGACAAGTTGGATGTGTCATTTACCATTGGGAGCAACATCTGGTTGGGCAGGACATTTTTAAAGGTGCCTTTGCATGCCACCTTCTATACAGAGCGTAGGGGCAAATGCTGTGGAGAGCTTGGAGTCCTGCTCTGGTTCAAACCCAGGATCTCTACTGTTTACTCCATTTACTCATGTGAAATGGAGGCAATCATACTAGATACCTTAAGGGTTGTTCTGAGGCTTAAATAAGACAATGTGAGAAAAGCATGTAGCAATGGACCTGCATACATTTCACTTACAGGCTAGAATAACCCTGCTCCTATTGTTCCATTTTACAGATATTGAAATCAAGGTTCAGAGAGTTAATGACCTGGTAAGCAGCACACATTTGGGACCTGAACTCTATTCAGACTCAAACCCAGGTTCTTTACCCCACACTTTAGAGCAGCAGTTCTCAACCTGTGGGTCGCGACCCCTTTGGCGGTCGAATGACCCTTTCACAGGGGTCACCTAAGACCATCCTGCATATCAGATATTTACATGACGATTCATAACAGTAGCAACATTACAGTTATGAAGTAGCAACGAAAATAATCATATGGTTGGGTCACAACATGAGGAACTGTATTTAAAGGGCCAGAAGGTTGAGAACCACTGCTTTAGGGGGATCCTCCCAGCCAGACTCTCATTCTTGAATTTGGCTGGGCTGAGACTTGGCAGGGCACAGAGAGGGGGACAGACCAGGCGCAGCTCTGGTGCCGGGCTAAGATGGGTGGCTTCAAGGCCTTTCAATTGGCCTGGCCAACATCACCCCCAAGCTTTCCCCATGAAGAGGCACCTATCTGCCAGCCTGAATACACTGCCTTGTCCTCTCCTCCCCAAGCCCCACTGCCCTGGCTTCTGGGGTAGAGTGTGTGTGACATAGAAATTCCCCCTCCATCCCCATCTGCTCAGGGGTTCTCTGCCATGACCTTACCCTTGGGTCTGCCCTTGACCCCCCTCACCACCACCCCCCGCGCCCCGCCCCGTGGAAAACATCAAAATCTTAGGATCTGAGTCTATTCTTGTGACCTTAAAAAAGATTTTTAGCTGCTGTCTGCCCCAGTTTCCTTCTCTACAGAGCATGCCACACACACACACACACACACACGATTGTTGCTAGAGTTATTTTAATCTGGATCAGGGAGGAGCCATCCTGGCATTAACATCTGGCCCTGGATGTGGGCACGGCCAGTCCCGCTCACAGAGCCTCTTCTCTCTGTTTGCTCCCAGTGATGGTGAGAAGGTTGCTGGCCCTCTCTACAAGGTGGAGAGGGGATGGCCCAGAGCACTTCAGTGACTTGCATAAGATCACACACCAGTGAGTGGAAAAGCCAGGCCTCGAGTCTCTTTTGGATGTAATTTCATGTTGGCCTTACTCTTTTGTACCTACCGGCTTGACTAGGGCTGCTGAGGGGACAGAAAGCTGTGCCCTATTGCTACCTCCGGCTACTAATCCTGACCCACCCCGTCCACTCAGGATCCAGGCTGTGTGGAATTCGGTGCTTATACACGTTGGACCTCTTAACTTAAAGAAGACAGAATTATACATATACAATTAGGCATAAGCTTTGGAAAGAGCCAAGTCAGAGCCTGGGGCTTAGCCGCATTGGTTTCATGGTAAATTCACTTGTGCTCCCCGTTCTGCTGGTACAGCCTTCTGCCCCCCGCTTTCCCAGCCTGTAACACCCTCACCTCTCTCTCTCAACACCGATCCCATCCCTGCACAGGGCTGCCTTGTCTCCACACCCCCTGGGGCGATTGTCCAGTGGTTTTGACTTTGTCTCTTCCAACCCAGTGTCTGGCAGGAATTTACAGACAGTGACCATTCCCTGAGTGAGCGCCCAGCTCACCGAGTCTACAGCAAGCCTTGCCCAGCGAGCCCTGGATTTGAGTCACATTCATTGAGCACCCCCTAGGGGCCCAGTCTGCTGCTGGTGCTCTGGAAACAGAAATGAATGCGACCCAACCCCTGCCCTGAAAGAACATGAGCGCATATTCCACGGGAAGAGAGAGACGGGCACTGGACAAGCACAATTATGTGGCCTGAGCCCTAGCAGAGGCAGGGCAGGCACAGTGGGAAACAGGGAACGGGAGCCCTCTGAGCAGGGACCATGCTAGGCAGAGGCTGCAGGAAGAGCCGCCGGTAAGGCTGGGGAGGAGCACAGAGAGGAGGGACCGTAGCTACGGACCTGGCTGGGGACCAGACTATGGGGGCCTTGGGGCTGATCTTGGCAGAGCCGGCAAGTTCCTTACCGCGACTGTGGGCTTGTGGCTCCGCAGCGGGGGCGCGGGGCC